TCTGCAATGGCCAAACACAACCCCAGAGAGAGGGCAGCAGGTGAATTCCCAGAGAAACTTCAATATGGAAACTCACCCTGTGCTGCCAGGAGGTTTCCAGCCAGAGCCCCACAGTGATTCCAAGTCTCCGCAACAACAGACGGACACATAGTTTTCTTTTGCAAGACAAAAAGGGAAGTTTAAACAAAACAGTCTGGAAATACCCACATCCACTGAGCATCTGGAGCTCCTCAGTTCATTTTCTGCCTCTTGGAGCATGAGTGGGACAGGACTCTTCTCTGCAAAGAGCCAACCTCTTTGGCCAAGCAGCAGGAGTAGGTCCATGGCCAGCTCTCCAGTCAGCCAGGACATGCAGGGTTGCTGCTTATGCAGCTCCCATGCCCGTCCTCCATAAAATGCAGACCTGATGTGATGAAACAACAGGAAATTTTGCCTCAGTTCTGTTTCTATGTGTTAGAAATAACTCCCTAGATTAAAATATCGGGCTTCAACTGACACCTGATGCCACTGTACTTACTACATGGGCAGTTGATAAAAGGATGTCTATCCTTGACTTGCCTGTTGTAATCGATAATCTCCCATGCTAACTTGATGATTTAAATACAGTAAGGAGTTAGTATCACTATTATTAGTACCTTGCCAATTTATTTTTACTTCAGTTGTCACACAGTTAGCAGCTGTGCCTTCAAGTCTGTTCATTTCTGTTTATTTTCAATAACATTTATTAAAAGACTCTCTTACGCATTCCTTTCATTTGACCTCACTGATGTCCTCTGTACTTGTCTGCTGTCACTCTACTGCCTGTCACCAGTTTGCTTTTGCTTTGCAAAGGCAAAGGAGTTTAAAGAACCCTGAGCACTGAACCGAGGGGCAGGTGCTGTGATTTCAGACTGCAGCTGAGGAGGTAATTCAGGATGGAAAGCAGAAAGTTAACAAGCTGCCCTCTTTCTAGCAGGGGGGCTTAGCTCTACCTAGGCTTGGAACTCTCAAAATTGATCCCAGGTATTTGGCTTTAGAGATGATGATGATGATCTGAGATTTCTTCCCTTACAGCAATTCATTAAATTGAACCTAGGTTGCAGACAAATAGATACCTGTTATCCTGCAGTGCTCCCAGTCACATCCCACTCTAGCAGGATACAAGCCTCACTTTCCCCAGCATGCTGCATGGTTTCTCTATGTTTCTCTGTCTCAGATGCATCTTTTAGCTATGAATGTAAGAGAACAGAGTAGCTCATACCTTCTGCTTGTGCAGAGAAGTAAATCATCATGTTCCAATAAGTCCTGGCCTCTTCGCTTTCCAGCTTTGCTGGACCTTTTTGGATAAGCAAAGGTTACAGAATGAATCTCACAGTCAAAGTATTATTGCATTCAAAAGTAACCTTTTCCACAGGCTGAGCTGCAGCACATGCCTCAGTTTCACACTGCCATGCTCTGGAGGACTTTCCTAGAGACACTGGGAGGGACAGCATTCACTGCCAGAGCATACCAGAGCTCTTCCCAACTGTCCCTTCAAACCATGGGATGCAGTGCCCTGGACAGGTAGGCAGCGGGATGAGATGCTCTGTCTGTCACCAGGTGACAGGCTCAGCAATGGTGACAGGCTGACAAGGAGAATATGTCACAACAGTAACTAAAACTTGAAACAACCACTGAAGCAGACCTGAAGCTGAAGAAAGGATGAAAAGCATATGCACGTGCTGGTAAGCCAGATCACACTGTACCAAGCAGCGCTGGGTGCACTTCAGATCTTGTGAGAGGTGCTGAACAGGCAGCTTCAACGTTTTCTCCTTGCAAGGACAGCAGCAAGTCAGGGTTGGTGTTTTCCATAGGGAAGTGCTGTCTCTTCTGAGCAGGCTGGTGCCTTGGTGGCCAAGGGGCCCAGCCCAGAGGACTGTCCTGCTGGGCAACGTGGCCTGTTGAGGCACCAGAGTGAGAACAATGCCATGTTTCACACAGACATCTTTATTTTCACATTTCTGCATGTATGCAAGGGGATGTTCTTTTTCCTGGGATGGGATGGTAGACATTCCCTACAGAATGGAGCTCAGCAAATGTTATATATATAGTGTTCTTCTGCATTTCTCCATGTGTCAGAATGGATGTTTACAACAAAGCAGTTCTAAAGGGACACTGTGAGGCTTTACTCTTTTCTCTCTAGTATAAAACAGAGTTTGCATTTTTCTTCAATTCAATTGCCTGCTCTCCTGGTTATGCTTAACCATAAATGCTGAAGAGAAAAGACACGCTTGTAAGCTTTCAATATTCACTATTCCAAGATACTATCAGTGATGCAGGTAGAACATTTCTGAACTCGTTTCCATAAGGGCCACACTATCAGGTGTATATCAGTGCACCAAACAGAAGAGCACCCCTGAACCAGTGACACAAATCATTGGTGTGTAAATGTTATACTCACAGCATGGTTCAGCAGTTTAAGGGCCTCTGTGAAGACAGATACGGGTTTGTAAGAGACCTGCTTTTAGGCTTCACTGTAGATTTTAAACCTGACAGTGTCCCTTCAGAAAAAAGTACATAACTGGGCTTAAGAAAGGACACCCTCCTACAGGCATTTTCTTTTTATTATTAAAAACCAACAGTTTAAAAACCATTCAACAGAATTTAATACAAGTTGCCATTGGAGAATAGCATTTGTAAGAGTGAAGCTATACATCACTGCTCCGTTAACATGGCTTTAGTTATCAAAATAATATATTTGCACATTGTCTTAGGTCTTTCATGGCAGCTCCATGAAGAAGAAGAGGTTCTTACACTGCTGCTACCATCTTATCAGAGCTCACACATGGACACAAAGATGTTTGTTCTCAACGTGTGTTGCAGTCAGGCAGTGCTGAAGTTTTGCCCACCATGCTTGAACCTTAGGATTTCAATACCCCAGGTTTATAGTTTGACTTGGGATTACTCACAATATTGCAATGTATTCAAACAGGAAAACAAACATCAACAGTAACAGGCATGATACGTTTCTTTTTGCGTTATTAACCACATTCCTAGTTTTCAACAGATTGTTGCCAAACGTGTGTTAGAAAGGCTTTTCTTTGTAACTAAATGAAACTGTCAGACTAATGACTCAGACATTATTTAAACATTCACAGCTTTAAGGACATTTGCACAGCTGATAGCACTGACACAGGGTCTAACTGTAACTTAGAAGCCAGCATAGTAACTACCTTCCAAACACTGGCTTGTATGATGGCGTGAGATTAGAATAGCATACTGTATTTTATTCAGAAAGCCATAGTAGTATTTGCCATAAATATTGCAAGCCCCATTTAGGAGTGATGGGAGGCTTTGCAAGTTTACAAAGCAACGTTACAGAAAACATAAAAAACAACAGCAAAAACATTTCCTTGCAGAGAACAACTCTCTCACAGTCACTGGATCTCTGTCACCTGCTGCCTGGAGCACAGATGCTACAGACACGTGCAGAGCCTGGAAAATCTGGAGTCCTGCTCTGCACTAGTGCATACCAGCCTCTGGCCAGTATCAGTGGGATCAAAGACAAACACAGGATAATAAACGGTGTCACAAAGGCAGCGACTCTGCCAAGACAGAATTTACAGTCAGAGCTCTGTGAAAACGAAACTACTGTGTGTCACTGCAAACCCTCCTCTCTCAGATACAACGGACTTGGGAGGTAGCAACAAAAGGCTGAACATCAGGAATGTGCAGGTGGGGTCTGGACTCCTGTGAGACCAAAACCAAAGCTAGTTATGCCTCAGGGACACAGTCAGTACCAGTGTGACCTTCAGCATCGCCCTCTCTGTCTAATGCACCCCTGTTGTTACTGGGAGTAACACAGCGGAGCTCAAAAGGAGATGACAGAACTGCAGGGTCACTACTGTCAGCCTGATGTCAGCAATGCACTTGAGCACGCACTGAGAGCAACATGCACTTGTTTGAAGTGTGTTTATAAACTGGAGCCACACTCAACAAAATGCAGTTACACCCCCTATGACACAGGCACCCCCACACCAGCCAAACAGCACTTCTGCTAGCGGAGATACAGAAAAACAGAGCTGAGGCCAAATTCATTACAGCAAGCCCAGAAAGCAAGTTAGCTCCGGGGACCTTGGTAGCATGCAACTAATAACATTTGCTCTTGAAGAGGCACATTCACAACTTTTCAGGCTGTATGTGCTGTCTCCTGAGCAAATCTGGAACAACTGTGTACCTTTGTTTTTAGCACTTCCCCTCAGCTGAAGCCAGCTGCTTAGGCTGCAAACGTACAGATGCTCTTTAGGTGTGGGGATAAAGTTATTGTTTTAAATTCTGTCATTTGCTAAACGATTGCAAGAAGAACCAAGAAGAAACATTGTGCATTAACTTCAGCTACAACTGATGTCTTTGTCAAGTGCCTAGTGAATAAAAACTACATAGACATTACTGGACAACTGAAGAGCAAAGCTGCTCTCACAGCATTGCACGGATTCTGCATGTTACTGGAGTTGCTCTGCTCTGTATCACTGCTAGGGAAGAATTAGTTAAAGTTATTTGTATGAAAGGCAAAAAGTAGTGTAGGCCAGTGTGTCATTCCTGTGTCCATGTAACTTCACACGCCTGAATAGCACTTCTGACAACAAGTGGGCATCTTAAAGAGCTATAAGTTAAGACTACATAGAAATGTATGGAGGAGCACAGCAAGAGGGGAAAATATCCTATCCTGGGGATCAGCCTAACGTTACACTAGTACTGACCAGACCTACTTCTATAATCAGGAATACTCAACAGATTACATTTTTATAAAATATAGGGCTAAATGAGGCATTCTCTATATTTTGTATTATAAAAAGCTTCCATTTCCATAATTTTTAAAATATATTTTCACTGCTAATTGTATATTTGCAATATAGTATCTGATACAATAAAAATATATGCTTACTGGACGGGCGCGATGTAGCACTACTGCAGGGACCCTCCTTTGTGCTTTTGAGCAGCTGAAAAAGTTGGCTCTTCCCCTCTTCCCCTTGGTTTCTGAGCCATAAATCTGGGTACAGCAACAGCACGCTGGTATGTCAGCTTTAAGAGTCTTCTGCAAAGCAGGCTCTGACATGTTCCTCAGCTGTCAAATAATATACTGGGCAAAATCCAACCACATGGTTCTGTTTACTGCTTAGAAAACCCAACTCCCCAATCCAATGCTTATGTGGCATTACAAAGTGAAAGGGACCTCTGCAAGTCATGCAATTGCCTTGTAGGATAAAAGATTCTTCTACAGAAGATGCTAAGCTACCCAATAGGACATAGGGCCTGGCAGCGGATTCTGAGACTAACAGCAATTAAGTTGATCCCAATTAAACTTACAGGGCACTCGATGTGGAAACAGCTGAATTATCTGGACCCCTTCCTGCGCTAAGAAAACTGGAAAGCTTAAATAAATCCAGAAAGTAGGCAATGCTATACTGTAACATCCAATGGAAAAATACATTCAAATGATGAACCTAGGAAGTGTGTGCCAAACTACACCAAAAGGACCATACCACATGACCACATCACTGCTGAGATGCACTCTAGAGAATCACTTTTGTTCCACTACGTGCTGGTCTGCAGAAGGTGGCTGGTAGCAGTGCAAGCATTCAACTCCCTGTACCAGCCCTTATAAGCTTGCCTGGTCTTGCAAGAACTTACCATCATTGAACAGAATTTGTTCTGTAGTTTGGTATGTATACGTGCAACACATGCTTATTTTTTCTGGCTCACCCTGATGAAGATGATGATTCTCTGGTTAAATGTGGTCAGAAAAATCTCCATGGAACAGCATGTGGCACCAGTGCATGTGAGAGGAGAAGCAGGATCTCTGCAGAAATGGGGATACTGGCTACATCGGCTTTCTGCTTAATGTCCTAGGTACATACATTGTTCTTTTTTTTACAGAATGCCTTGGTAGATTTTACTTTTGTCAAAGTAGGTTAAATGGCAAGGCATCCATAAAACAATTTGCCCTATGGTAGCATAGACTGAGATTTTCGCTTGCAATAGATTGCTGAGTAAGCTATTGGCATGTGCTATCATAGGTAATCAAGCTTGCTAGATTAAAAGCAGGACTTGTGCCTAGCAAACAACACTGTAGATTACTCATTGAACTTCGAGCAACAGTTCTCTCTTGTCAGGGTTTATTAAAATATTCACATGCTTCCAAAATGAAACAAAGGTCCACCGGTGTCTCCTGCAGAGAAGAGGTGGGATCGGTTGCATTCAGTTCCCATTTGGTTGGATGTGTCATACAAAATCCTCACACACTGAACATGGCTCAACTGTAAAAAGCTTTCACCCAGAAGGGAGATCTCTGTTACACAGAAAGTCTCTGACTCCTCCAGCGCTCACCAGGCACCGTTACATCACGTTCTCAAAGAGCTGTAAGGACCGCATGATATTGTCATCCTGAAAACAACAAGAACACACTTTTACAAAGGCAGCATGGACAAAAGTGACTTGTAACTTTGCATGACATGGGGGAGCTCTGCAGCTGCAACTGCATGCAACAGCCTTGTTTTCATAATGCTTTCCATCCTCGATGCGCTGGAACTGATTCAGTGATCAGGTCCTGATTCAGCAAAACAGTTGTTCCTGACACCTTGGTCAGTTTGAAGCACGCGAACACAGGATCTTCTCAGAAGCTTGGTGTTCAGCATGGGCTGTGCTTCACTGGACAAAAGCAGAACCAGCACTGAGCTTGTGACTGTACTTAACTCCAGTGCCCAACTGCATTTCATGGACCCTGAATTTACAAATATGCACATACTCAATATGCTTCAGCAACCCAAACAAAACTGCAGGTTTGAACTGATCAGCAAGCTGCCTTGCAGGACTACTTCATTCCAGAAATACAACCAGCTCAAACCCCAAATACAGGGAATCTCAGCTTCTCTGAGGCTCCTAGATCCAAATGACAAAGTTGGGAGGCACACAAGGGAAACGACAGACTCTTTCTTATCAAGCCTTGAAACTGTACTTTAGAGAGAATAACCAGACTAATACTCAAAATCATAAATGATGATTCCCCATGCTCCCAAGAATTAAATTATTCCAAAAGTTAAAGTAACTGCTTACCTGTGATGTGAAAATAATTTTCCATATTGAGCAACTTAAGGGCTCTAATGCACCTCCTTCCTCTATCTTATTGTGAGGCTGTGTCCATGTACCTCAGCTCTAACACAGTTTGGTGGGCACTAGGTACAAGGCATCACCTTGCATGGGGAATCACTCAGCCTTTCTAAAGTAATGTAGGACTTCACTGCTCAGGAGCCATATCCTATGAGATGGCAGAGGTAAGCATTACAGTGTGCTTGGTTTTGGGCTTCATAAGGCACAACCAGCAGGGCTTGCTCCCACCTACCGCGAACCCGCAGGTGACAGTGCATCAGTCTGCATAGCCCCTAGTGCAGGCGTGCCAACAGGAGGAGCCAGCTCTAGGGCAAAACATTAACCAAACTCTATCACAGCCAGAAGTAAAGCTGCTTCAGTACTGAGACCGCTAACCACACACGTACATCCAGGTAAGTTAGGAACATGAGTAACACACAACACAAATGATCAAATTAAATACAAAGAAAAAAGAAGGTGAACAATCAGGAGGGATCGAGAATGAAGTATATGAAAATAATTACCCTTCTATTATGCATCTGCTAACAAGGATTTTGCCACCTGAAGTCCCTGACTAAGAAGCAATTTGGATGTTGCCAGGCTAAACACAGAAGCAGCAGGAAGCCAGCTTAGCCCTCCACAGTGAGCGTTTGCCCATTGCTCAGGTTCAGGAGAGCTGTCTGACTGCAGAGCAGGAAAGATCCTTCCAGGGAAATTAACATACACAGGAGGGCTGGTCTGTAATTCCTTGCACCAGTGTAAACTTTTCCAAAATGCAGAGGCCATCATTGTACTGATTAAATATTTGAGCCATCTCTAAGCAAATTCACACAGTTAATTATAGTCTAAGACAACAGACACTTGGCCCATTGCATGTTAACGCAGATGCTTGTCTTTGTGACACTGCTAAAACATGCACCTTACATAAAGAAATAAAGTATTGTGCTGAGACACTGGCACAGGGTGCCCAGAGAAGCTGTGGCTGCCCCATCCCTGGCAGTGTTCAAGGCCAGGTTGGACACAGGGGCTTGGAGCAAGCTGCTCTAGTGGAAGGGGTCCCTGCCCATGGCAAGGCATTGGAACTGGGTGAGCTTAAGGTCTGTTTCAACCCAAACCAGTCTGGGATTCTATGATACCAGCAAATATGTATTACAGCCAACTCAATGTATGGAATTTACAAAAGAGTTTATTGCCAAAACAGAAAATCATTTCTGTGAGTACAGCATTTGCTCTGAATGGTTGTCCATGAAAATATCAAGGGTTTTAGAAGCCAGCGCTGCAATTAGAAGTTGCAGAGACCCTCAGCTCTGGACAGTTCCAGCAACATGGTGTCTGCTAATGTCACCCAGGGGCAGCACACAGAGAGAGTATCAGCCTCTTGAAAAAACAACCACCACACCCATGGAAGGGAGAAGAAAAAGGACAAGGAAAAGACCTACGGAAGTTTCAGGGTGTTAGGAGCTTTTTCTGCAGTTACCTGCAGGTGCTGCAGCTCACTCAGGAAAATAAAAGGTTTCACAGAGCACCTCCAGAAACTCCATTTTGAAGCTGCTTTTTTTCAGCAAGCAAAGGAAACCTGGGATCCCGAGCAGGATCTTGTAAATGTTGGGGCATGGGCTTGACCTGTCATTGCAGTTATGATTTTGTCCTTACCTCTTGACACGATTCAATAAACTCATCTAAAGTTACAACACCATCTTTGTTTTTATCCATTTTCTGCAAAATAAAAGAAAATAAATAATTGTTTCCATAGCTAGCACTGCAGTTATAATATAAAATATTATTTGATGCAGCCTGGTTAAACCTGAGGCACTTTATGAGCCTAGATTACAGACTCTGTCATTGATTAAATTTGCCAAATGCTAAGGACTTGTTTACTCTGGCACTTGGAGCTCTTTTGAGGTCTCCAACTATTCCTTCCTTGACATACACAGCAACCTCTGCCATTGTTGTCATTTATTTAATTACTGCCTCAACAAACAGCACCCATAGTCCTGTCTCACTTTATGGGCAGTTGAGAGAAGTACAGAAGTGCTGCAACACATGCATAGGCTTTAAACATGCTCGATGTGACACATACCCAAAGCAAAGGGTTGGGCTAAGACACAAATGAGATACCTATAGAGGCAGGAAATCAGCAGACACTGTAGTGTCAGGCTGAATGGATGCTACTGTTTATTTCTGAATATATAGTGGGGCCTAGGATTGAACATGGGGCTAACTTAATTGTAGAGTATATCAGTGCATGGTTCAAACGTTAAGAAAAACACATCAAAAATCAAGTACCTGGAAGAATACTTCTACATGCTGCCTTGGTGCATCTTCCTTGAGCACTGGGTAGGTGTACTTTCCCATCATATCATAAATTGCCTTTACGATATCTGTCATTTCCTGCAGTAGTGTCATGCCAGCAACAACACAAAAGGAAAGTTAATAGAAATGATAGTATATTTTTACTTTTTACTGCTCTTTTCTCCACCTTCCTGCTCCTATTACAAACCAGCACAGAGAATGCTGGTACATGAGCATGAAGACAGATGTATCATCATGTACAAGTTCAACTATTAAAAAGTGCTTCTTTCTGATGGTGCCATGACTTGGACATAGCCTTGTTGGGGGCTCCTGCAGTGCTTGCACAAACTGCCACACAAGCCCATGACCAGTGACAGTAACTGCAAACCCTGCAGGTACACACACCAGTCTGACAGGACAGACCAACATGTGTTTGCAAAATGTTCAAGGTTACCATGCTCAAACCCAAGGCTTCCCACACAGGGAACAAGCAATACGGGAGGAGAAGATAACACCATGTGACAACACAGGATTTGGGGGTGGTGTGATTGCATCCAGTTCTTCAACAGTATCTCCATAAAACCTTTGTGCCTCAGTCACCAATAGCTACTGTCACCAGGTAGCCACAAGTTATATTGTGCTCCTGTCTAAAGCAATCCATTAAAGCCACAATATAGGAAAATATGTCTACAACATCATATATTATAAGATCACTGTGCACTTAACTTGGACACAGATAAATGCTCAAAGCCAGTCTGGTTTGCATTTAAACTAGCTGCATGCAAAATTAATTGTTCTCTGCAACAGAAACCAGTTGTCTCTCTTCAGCAGTCACCCTTGTTTGTCAGGAACAGCCTTACCTCCTTGTTTATGTAGCCATCCTTATTTATGTCGTACAGGTTAAATGTCCATCTTAGCTTTTCATGAGCAGTTCCCCGTAACAGAATGGACAATGCCATCACAAAATCCTGTTCAAGGCAGAGAGAGGTGTGAATTTCAAGAATATCTTTTTCTAGGTCACCTTCTTTATATAATACTAGTCAAAAGACATATTTTTGGATATAGGTTATGGCTTTCAATCTCTTCTAACTCCCTTTTCCCAAAATTGTGCCATCTCTGACTGAACTCAATGGACATATCGCCCACTAAGATACCCCAAGTACTGTCACACTAATAAATGTGTATGTGGTAACCATTCAAACCAGAAAAGCAAAGTACTCAACTGCAGCCAATGTAAAAGCCAAGCTTATGATATGGGTTAGGCACCTTAGCAAGGCTGGAAGGGCAGGAAGACAGAATGGGTGCTGCAGCCTTAAGCTCTCCTAGTCCTGAAGAGAGGGTAGTGAAAACAGCAGGGTGGAGGGGGGTTAAGAACAGTTCCAGTCCAACGCAGGTAGGCTTAGATTCTAATGTTGAAGACAGGGGCTGCTCTGGCTCCTCTAACTTGCCAAGAGCAGCACAGTGCACTCCAGGCCAGAACCTGGGACACCTTTCTTGCTACCATCCACACTGGTCATGCTCTAAACACTGCATGGATGTAAGCCTGGCAAAATACATGTGGGGCTTTTTTAAGGGTAGTGCCCTCTACTCCAGTGGCCACTTCCCTGCTGCAAGGAGTCATCACTCCGATTGCCACTGCCTGGTTAAACACAGCTGGATCCTAACTGAGGAAATAGAAGCCATTGCTTTCTTACCTCCAGATCTAGGGTGCTGGTGAAGAAAGGAAGAAAATCCATGTTTTTTTAACATGCCCATCTTGAGAGAGATGGAGAGAACCCAAACTCCTCTAACACAGGGAGCCACAGGTTTTGTTCTCTGGCAAAACCTCTCAGACATGACCAGATACGATTCCTGCCACCTGACTCGGGCTGGGACACAGCATTTGAATTGTATTTTCTTGTTTACAGCAAAGTTATTGCTTCCAATAACTTTGATTTACTGTTCATAATGCATGGTAGCTCAGGCACAGCAAGCAGCATTGCTATGGGGATTTGTTAGTACAGGCAGAGCTTCAAGCTAACAGAGCTTTACAGCTCCTGATACCTCATTTAATGCACTGGATCTTCCTATGTTATCTCCATTAGCTCTGCATGGGGCAGTGCATCACTCAGAAACCTTTGCTGCTTTTTACCAAGGCTCAAATTTGCTGAACAGTACAAAAAGTACAAACATGCTGATGCCTGACAACCACTGAAGACACAGGTTTGCCAGGAAGGAAAGCTCAGCAAGCTTTTTAAATACTTATCTAAGCATTTTCCTGCGTCTCAGTCTGTTCAGGTTTCTGGAAGATTCTAACTACTGAGTACCTGCTATATGCGAAACTCCCACTGCAGCCATCTCTACAGAGACCCACATATGCATATGATAACATTCCCATTTTACATTTGATAAATGAACAGAGTTCTCAGTGTTACCTGGAAATGACCAGAGTTCTTGTCCATTTGGCAGCAAAGGCAAGACTGCCTGTGATTGCTGGTTTTATAAACACAGTAAACTCTCTTCAAATATATGAAGTTCATCCTTTACAGGTCTGTGGCTTAACATATTCCTTTGCTGTACTCCTACAACCGTGTGTGTGAGCTTGAAGTACAGCTATTTGTAGTCACAGCAACAGGCCTTTTAGTTAAAGGTTTATAGTTTCCATTTGGTACCAAGTATCTGAAAGGCTTGTTCAATATATCGAATAACCTTAAAACAACCCATATTCCAGGAATATACAAATATGACAATTCAGACATGCAATGTGCGATGACTGCACAAGATACAAGATGTACTGGCTTTTCTTTGGTATCCAAATTCTCTGTGCAACTCCAGCTGCATAAAATAAAGTGAACCAGAATTCAAAATATCAACTGATTTTAGGCTGAAACCTCTTTGGCATAATCCAATGACTCCTACTGGTTTACAATGAAGAATGGATGGAAAAGCTTAAAAACACAAAATGGAGAAATGGGCATAAAAGGAGTACGCAAAACAATTACCTCAAATTTCACTGAGCCATTTTGTGCAGTGTCAAAAGCATTAAAGAGATAATGCGCATACATGCTAGCATCTGAAAAACACAAAGGGCACTCGTTGGTACAACAGTTCACTGTAACACATTATAAGGGGTCTAAACAACTTTTTTTTTGCATAAAAACCAACCTTGTAGCAATGCCAGGTTTTCTATCAACCAGTAAAAGTTAGTATGGACCTGTATAATCCCCATGCCCTTCCTTAAGACATCCCTGAAATGTAAGAGCATTTATTACAGTAGAAACAATCTGGATTATGGGGCTGGACCTGAAATAATGAGTTAAAAAACCAAACCAAACCATCCAAGAGTATCTCTGTGGCAAATGGAGTGGCAGCTCTGGTCAGAAGTACAGCAAAAGTATCCAAGAGTGATTCCAACATGTGTGCTGCCTTCCTCTGCCTTCCTGCTTTGTACAGAGAAGATCCCCAGGGACTGTCCAACTTCAGAAGGGTTTAGTTCCACTAAGTCGAGTTTGGACCATGAGTAATAAAAAGCAATCTCATCTGAGGTATAGTTTTGTCTTTTTGAATCTTAAACTGCTGATTTTAGACAGTCCTTTCTATTATGAAGAACAGTTTCTGTGTCCACGTGAAGGATGGCTGTTAAGGGGAAAGAATCAGTAATGGAAGGCAGAAAAAAAATCAAAGAGGTGTACGACTGTAAGACCTTCCTTGGCCTGTTCTCTGCTCAGGGGGCAATTCACACTGCTCTCCTTAGTATTAGAGCCCAGCTATTCAAGATGGAAGCAACTGACATTAAATGCCCTTGATTATTTCCTTGCCATTCTAGGTGCCACACATTTTTTTGCCTCTTCTATTCTTTGCTTCTAGCACTCAGCATTATTCAAGCCTGAGTCTCCCTACTCAGTGTACGGGCATTGAGGTGAAGCCTGGTGCCCTGTGCTAGGTGGGCAGGCAGGCAATATGACTTAGCATCTCCGTATCTGATCTCTGTGAAATGATCAAGTAGTTTTACATTGTTCAAATCCAGAAAAGTGTAACAGTAGGCAAAAAAATCAAATACTTCAGTTACTGTCACCTGTAAGGACAGAATATACTGGTCTGCAAAGAAAAATGCTCTCCTGCATTTTCTGAGAAGGATTCTGAAATAACAGCTTCAGAATTAAAACACTTATGGGACAGTCCTAAAAACTCCCATTAAGCTAAACAATGACCTAAAAATATTAAACTAGGTGCTTATTTTCAACAGGGCATAATAAAATACTAAATTCCTAGTATTACTTGATGCCTGATTAACAAAAACGAAAACCTGTCAAGGATAGGAGCCCTATGTAACAAATCCATCACAAGCCTGGGAAGAGGCTGCACAACGTTTTTATAATCCAGAGATGCTTTACTCCCTCTGGGATGTACAGGTTTATCAGCACAGAGAGCCCTACAGAGAGCCAAAGTGAAAAGATCTCTGAGGCACCTGAACTCTCACAATTTATGATACTAAAGTAATACAGTTTGGAAACCAAGTGAAAGAAAACAGTACAAAATACGAAATCATGCCTGCTGCCAAACTGACATCTTGTTAAGCACGACTGAACTACCATCATCATTAAGGGAGGTTCAGAGCTCAAGGGAATGGAACACCAGAAAACGGGCAAGCGCCTGTCAGGCTCAGCAGAGGCAAGAAAAGCTGTCTGTCCATGAAAAGATGAAGTATCTGTGCCTGCCAGTTTTTCATGCCCAGGAAGGCAGAAGTCACCCGAGGTGTTTCACAAAGGAGGTAGTACAGTTATTTGGGGCAAACTGAAAACGCAAAATATATGTATAAATACATTCAGACCATACTAAAATTTAAACTTTTCATAGGCGTGCATCTTTGTGGCCACATACATTGTGAAACGTAAATATGACATGGTTTGTCTTGAAATTTAGTTGAAAAAAACACTTGTTAATGACTTTCTGAAGGTCATGCACATGCACACATAGGCTTTTGTAGAAACTTCAGCCATTATTCCACAATGAGTGCATTCTGCAGCTGCTATAGTGTGGAATACAGAATCATAGAATCATTTAGATTGGTAAAATCTTTTAAGATCATCAAGTCTAACCATTAACCCAGCACTGCCAATTCCCTCAGTGCTACAGCTACATGTCTTTTAAACACCTCCAGGGATGGTGATTCCACCACTGCCCTGGGCAGCCTGTTCAGTGTTTGACAGCCCTTTTAGTAAAGATGTTTTTCCCAGTATCCAGTCTAAACCTCCCCTGGTGCAGCTTGAGGCCATTTCCTCTTGTGCTGTTGCTTGTTTCTTGGGAGAAGAGACCAACCCCACCTTACTACAACCTATCAGGCAGTTGCAGAGAGTGATAAGGTCCCCCTGGGCTTCTTTTTCTGCAAGTAAAACATGTATTAGGAAAAGCCTCAAATACTGAATCTTTTACTAAAAAGCCACTTAAACCCATGCCTCATTTCTTGCAGTTTGAGAACAGTATCCCCACAGAACATGTTCAGCTAGAACAACAGAGAGATTATTGGATGTCTTTCAAAGGTAAGAATATGTTGAGAGGTTTAATATAACACTTTGATATTCCAGTACATGACATCACCCTGTTCTTAGTCACACAAACACTAAAGTGATCGTTTCAGGTAGCTAGAAGTTCACACATCAACTAGGAACTGCTTTAAGAATTTTAGAAAGGTTTTGATTAATTTGCAGGCCAAAATGAGGGCTGGGATTCTTCTGTGCTAGATACCACATGCACAGCAATCCACAGCAGGGGAGCAAAGACACACAGAGGGGAAGTGATTTAGCTTTCTGCCATCTAGAAAGTCAGTACAAACCACCCCATCAATCCCCAGTTTCCATCTGGGGCTTGGGGAACAAAGAGCTGACAACTAGGGGCAATCTTTAATGTGGATTTGTCTATTCCTGTGAAATAACTGTTCAACTGCACTAAGTAATTGCATGACCTTGATGTTTGTGTTTCTGTTTAAGACCCTGCAAAGGTGAAGCTCAATTCACATTTCTTACACAGATTACCTGAAGGAGTTTTGCAGCCAGCTGGCAGTAATGAATGTTAAGGCATGCTTCAAGAAACCTGCCAGATGCAAAGTACTCTGCTTACCTCCATGAGGAAAAAACTGTGCATAGATCTGTTTAAATGCCTCTTCATTAACAACCCCACTAGGACATTCCTGTTGGAAAAACAAAAAGAACAAATATCAAGCAAACCCCCCCTCAACACTGTAAAGGTTCATTTGCAAAACTCTACAAGCCCAAAGAGAGCAATTAAACAAATGACACTGCTGTTCTCCCAGTGCTCTGGGCACACAGGCTGTGCAGCTGGAGACATTAAAATCATTCCGAGTGCAGCTTCATCTCATGCTCTTGTTTCACCATTATTAACATTTCTCAGCAGTATTTTCGGCAGTGTTTAATTGCTGCTCTATAGGACAACCAGGAAGGCAGCTCATGCCTTCTGTCAGGTGAAACTTCCATCATATAATTACAGATAATGTTAGGGCCAGCTAACAGTGCTTGGTCTGATACCTCCATCTATATGACTTCATTAATTGTAGAGTCATAGAATGGTTTGGGTTGGAAAGGACCTCAAGATGATCCAGTTCCGACCTCACCCTAGACCATGTTGCCCAAGGCTCTGTCCAACCTCAATGATTGTCAATCATCAGTGGAAGACTGTATCCAGAAATGTGACACCAGCTCTATGAAGGCTAATGGTATGGACTATACTGGTAAGTCCACATGAAGAAGCATCAGTATTAGGCTGATAAATATTAGACCATTTTTAACCTGTTTATCCACTCAGTCTTCCATAAACTGAGAAGCCAGGCTGTGCCCATGCACATTTTGTAACCTGTGGGGTTATTTGACTTTTAAGCACTGGTACTGGAATGTACAGCAGTGCATTTGAGTTCAGCTGCTTCAGATGAGGGCAAACTCTTACGAAAAGAGTCGCAGATTTTCTGTCCTGAACTTCCTGACCTACTAAGTAGCCCCATGGGGAAGGAAAAAGAGGGGAATGACGTCTGGAGGGCTCACACTTGCTCTACCTTCAGCCAAGCAAAATCCAGGCTGTTACCTCTTTACCGCTGTTCAGACTGAGATGTTGGGGTAGCACAAATAAGCTCGGGGATGAACACAAATGAGTTTGAAAGAGCACAGTGCTGCTCAGCACCTACATTACATCTATAATGCTGATGGTAGCATTACAGGTTGTTGAATCTGAGATGAGTAAACTTAGGAAGTGTAAGAAAATCCCTTTGAATTTTTGACATAGAAAGCTGGAGGAAGATTCAAGTCTATGATTTATTTATTGATGAGTTCTTTAGATACCTTTTAAGAACAAAAAGGACTTTGATAAGAAATTATTCCACCATGAAAAGCCTATAAAGGAAAAGCAGCATTCTTCCAGCCTCTGATCTGACAGTATCACTTGCTGCTGTGCATTTCCTGACCATGGAAAGGGACAGAACAAACAAGTGAAATTACTTTATACTGTGCAAGTCAAGGAAGGAGAGCAAGGAGAGGTACTTCAGGCGACGAGGCAGCTCCTCAATCACATACCTGTCTGCTATTGAATTAGGGTGATTAGATTGGAGTTCCTTCCTCCAATGCAGAAATCCTGCTGTATCCTACCCACGATGTAGGTAAAACCCATCAGTGACTTGAGAAGAATTGAGCTAAATAAAGGATAATTTGTTGCTTGAAAATCCCTGAATTTATCTTTTTCTCTGCATCTGCATGTCCTGACAAGTGCCCTCCCACTGGTTATGTTGAAGTGTCCCAAAGCTGGCACTGTAGCCTTGACCTGGCTGGGGCCATCCCTTCTCCAGTGGCAGTGCTCAAGGCCTGTTTCACGGCAAGGGGATAAAAGGACCAACTGGATTAGCTAAAGAGAAGGGCTGCAAGGGCCAGGCCTTGTGTTTTCATTTACAGACAAAACTAACAAAACTTCCTAAATCTGTGCAGCAAAATTCCTGTTTAGATGAATAGCCTCAAAATATGCCAAAGCTCCTACTAAACCAGTCAGTGCCCGTTCTCTTTGTCATGAGAAAAGTGGTTACATCTGCCTGTGACACATCTAATGAGCTATGAATCATTAAAAGAATAATAATTAATGGAGTATGACAGATAAAATAAAAATGTTCTTCTGAAGTTCACATTTCTTAAAGCTTGTAATTTAATGTAAATTAAATAATCAGCTATTTATTTGTGGTAGCTTGTAATAATCAGTAAGACCACCTACCTGGTAACCGGAGTGCTGCTGTTCCAGGACTCACACTGAGCCTTTGCACAACTGTAGAGTATTTGACCTAATTGTCATTCTCTTTAAAATGAAGCCTAGCACAGCATTTAACCTTCCTTTCCATCATAGTGCTACTGGCCTAAGTAGTGCTGCCCCAAGTGAAGATGCAGTTTTTTCTCTATTCTTGATAAATACAACTAATATATTCACTAAAAAGCATCATTTTGCATGCTTAAGGGTAGTGTACACATGTTTGGGCTCATTATTTTCTGTATACTTTCCACAGTTGTAGAGTCCGTTGGGTCTCTTCCACACTATATTAAAGTCTGTGTTTGCCAAGAGCCCCAGTCCAGCACCATCCACCCTGAGAATGAAGCTGAAGCTTGTGAAGGGCAGGTTGGTGCTGCACACACTGCCCTTGCAGAGGCAGGGTTTTGTGTAGCAGTTTTGGCCATTATGCATAATTGAATTGTCTCAATTTCCACATGATCCTTTTACTTCTGATGCTCCATCTGGAAGCCAAATAAAAAGTTTGCAGCAAGCCTCCAGGAGTGCTGGGCAGAGGCAGCACGGACATTGATCAGCCTGCTTAGCTCAGTGTAACTGGATTGCTTTCAGACACATATGCTTGTTCCAATTCATTTGCACTTAATTGATCACAATTTTGCTTTTCTAAGAGCCAGATAATGCTCAAGTGGCCTCATTAGTGCTCCAGTACTACTGAATTCAGCTGACTCGGAAGAAATCCGTGTTATGAAAGGAGCAGGTAAGCTGAGTGTCAGTTTGAACTCCACTGACGCTGACAAAGCCTTATTCATGAAAACATTCCTGGCAGTATGGAAAAGCACAGTGCCTCACTGTAACAGTCTGCCTCCAGTGGCAGGGAATTGGAGTCAGGTAACCACCTTTCATTGCTATAACCTACAAATTAGTTAGTTTAAACCAAGAACAGTATTCCACAGTTTTTTGGATTGCTAAGCACGGAACCAACCCCTCATCTTCAACAAACATTGGCACTGGCAGTGTGAGTCATGCCTTTGAATCTACCCTCTCAGAACGCTTAACTCTTTTCAAACAGGAAGCCACAAAGGAGCTGAATCCACATTAAAAATAGAACCCCCCCAAAACAAAACAACCCGAAAAGGAAATCAATCAGAAGGTCACTTGCTGTTCTTTCTCCTGCTGGAATCAGAAATGAGCTCCATCAATTGCTTCCAAAGATAAGCAACGTGGTCAAGCAGGGATCAGCAGCAAAACTGAAATGGGGCTGAACATAACCTGCTCAGCTGGCTGTTCTCACCTTGCTTGGCCAGAACAAAGAGGAGCACCCAGGGGACTGATCTCCTCCCTCTGCTCCATAACTGTTCCCTAAACTTTACTCCTGTGGGGATCAAGAACTTCCTTCTACTGCCAGCCTATGCCTGTTTATGTCCATTTTGTTCCTGTACCAATACTGCCTTTTAGCTCAAACAATGCTCTCTCCTGATGTATTTATAGACAGCAGGTAACACATTTTATTTTGTTGAGCTAAACCAAGGCAAGATCCACCAAAGGTTGTGCTGGGTTTTGCTGTCCCTGTTGCCTTGCTTGTGCAGAACCACAGGCAAAGAAACGAGTCCAAACACCTTAACCTGGCTCCAGTATGACAGCAGCTATATGCAAGGTGCAAAACAGACTATTGTACAAATTGCACCCTGGGGGCAGAGATAACTGCAAAGATAAACATGAACTTTTGGTCCTGGCATCAAGAGATGTTGGAGGACATCTCACAACATTCCCTTTCACAACTGGAAAAGAAAGCTGATAGCAAAGAGAGAGGAGACATATGTCCAGGCAGCAAGCATACCAGTTTGAAGTGGGAAAAGATTTGTATTTAGTGGAAGTCACCATCAGTCTGGTGTAGAAACACCAGACCTGACCAGTGACACAGTGGGAAGAGACTGGGAAGGTTTTGAGGGCATAGGGAAACAGATTTCAGAGGAAGTAAGAACAGGAATTAAAGCACTGAGAATTAGTGCCTAGAGGGTGCCCCAGGCTGTGCTGAACTGCCTTTGGTCAAACACCATCAAATCTATGTTCATGAGCATCAAACCTTCAACTCCTGTGACTGCAGCAGGGCTGAGCAGGGCCACATTCTCCCCTGTGCCTGTACATGGCTCTGGGATTATCCAGGTGTTGCCTCATGATTAAACAGGACCTGTGCAGTCACCATGAGCAAGCAGTAAGTACAAGCCAGAGAAAAGAAAATGACTGTATTCCCATAGGGATCTTGAATCTCCAGATGGCACTGTAACATCATCCCAAAAAGCAGATGGTTTGGTACAACAGCAAATATGGTAACAGCTGAGTCAGTTTGCCTGCTGTATATAATTACTCATCCCATTGAAACCATAATTTACATGCTACAAATGCTAAAGCCACCCTTTCATGTCAATTTAAACCTTAGATATTAAAGCTTCATGCATATCATGTAATAGCAGCTGGAGAAAACCAGATTGCTTTGTCCTAGCAACCCGCTATAAAACATTATCTTGTCAGCACTGCCTATTAATACCAAGACCTTCAGTGAGGTTTAGGAAAGGGGTTAGGTCATAAGTTAAATGCACTTGTCTATCACTCTTGCCCTGGGAGGTAATGCCTCTATACTGCAAAGTGATAGCAGAACTGAGAGGGATAAGGGGTAAATATCATGGGTACTGAGAGCTGCACAGCCAGCTCCTCCTGTCAGCATGGAGCAGAGCAATCCAACATGGGTCTCCCACCAAATAGCAGTACAGGAGGCATTTTGGAGGTCTTAGCAAAACACAGCAGTTCAGAGCTCTCACTGTAGGCAGGTGTGTCACATTAAATGTACGTTAGCCTGTCAAGCTGTCTCAAAAGACAAATGATTTCTCGCTGACTGCCCAAAGCATGAAGACGTTTCAGGTATCAGTCTACAGTGGCTACAAAACTTCACACATGCAATGACCTCCTATGTGCAGCAAAGGCTGTACAAATACAACACATGCACCAAAAAGAGAAGTGCAGAAAGCTGAGCTGTGCCTTGGCCTGCTCAGGTGAGCGGTGAAATAAAGGCTGAAACCCCTGGACTCCTGGGGGAAATCAAACATATTTTGGTGATGTGATTCAACGTAACTCCAAGAACCTGTCAGGGAGAAAGGCCCCTCTCACTATCCAGCAGGTTTCTCTCAACACTTGCAGCTCATCTTTCCTTTGAGAAGTTTTTACCCAATGGATTTGTTTTTCTCTTTCCGAGAGAAACAGCAGGATTTCAGTGGGGCAGTAGCTGAAATGCTGGAGCTGTCCTGCAAGACGACTTAAACCCACCCCGTGTTTATTGAGCGGGCTTAACACTGATCTATTAATCATCATAAAAACATCATCTGGTACGAGCCACCTGGGTGACTAAACCCAGACCCTCAGGCAACCATGTAATGAGTATTCATTCTTCAAGGTGCATAAAGCATCTGCTCCACGTAGCCTCAAAATTCCCTGTTTCTATTTATTATGACAAGTCCCTAAGAGGCAGCAGCAGGTGAGCTGGAAGCTGAGGCTCCGAGAGCTGCAGCCTCCCCACTACCAGGGAGGATATGCCTGGTGGTTGACAAAGGCGAGGGCAGTGCTGCTCTGTGTACACAGACATGCCAACTGGCATGGCTCCTGCTCTCACCTCAATCTGTAGCCTCTTTCTTGGCTCCTCGGTCTTGATACCTTTTTACTTTTGATTTCTTTTCGGCTCCTGCCACTTCAGCTTATTCTGTTTACACAGGAACTTATAGTCCTAGTGTGCTCTATTACATCATGCTAAAAGAGCAAGATTTCTGTAGCCAGAGAAAGGACACAAGCTAACCACAAGCAAGCAGTACTGCTCGTATTTGAACATGAGGAACTAACAGCAAGAATGAAATAAGTACCTATAAAACATTTTCAGGTTATCTTGAAGTACTGGCACAGTTGGGGAAATTGCAGTGTGCTTACTGATATTTGGGCAACAAATTGAAGGAGAATATTGTATGCTAAGTATTCATCCAAACCCAGTTTTAGGTAGATTATGGTGTCATAAATATTAAATGAAGTGGCAGATTGTGCTTGTTTTGCTGTGGGAAGGGACATCTAGCACAAAACTGCAAATGTTTCGCAGGGGAATGGTGCATAACGCAGCTGAGCAGGGCGGGCAGGGGGAGACATACATACTGGGCTCAGTTCACTGCAGGATCATTCTTACATTTTTAAATCCTCTGTAAAGCACTTGAAGTTCTCTTTTAGTGAAATTGGTTTGTGCTTCAAGCTGTTCCAGTCCTTCAGGTCTATGGCACACTGTAGTCATTTCTAATTCATCTTCAATTTTATCTGAAAGAGAAGACAAGAAAATATTTATTTTGGTTGTTACCTTTGCTCTATTAACATGATGGATAGGACAGCCTGGAGTTCAAGAGAGAAAAAGAAACCATCAACAGAACAGATCTCTATAACTGTTTTCAATCTCTTGAAAGCAAAATAAAAGTCATATGAGTAAAACAAAAGTTCGCATTTTACAGGGCTGCCAATTAGCTCCCCTCCACAAAGCCAAAACTGGTGGTGAGAACAGAAGGGCAGCAGCAGATACGTTGTTCCAAAAGGCAACGCCAGGTATTTCTTATCTAAATATTGAAACAGCGTGGAAGAATAGGCCTTTCAAAGTACCAGCTTTGAAAAAGGCTGTGCAAATACAAGTGAGAGAGCAGACATGCTTAAGCGTATTAGGCAAGATCATTATACTGAGGGTAAACAGTGAGGGAAGCTCTTCTGTTAACCAAAAAGCTTGCTATAGAGACACTAAAGGTCACCTTAATCCTAGGAGAAATTCAGACAGATGCCCACAGAGTCTGGGATGAAACCAGCCTGAATTTGCATGGACTTTTGGGGGAAGCAGATAAGAAATGAAAGATTCTGATAGGCATTTTATTCAAGTGGATATTCTCTAGCAAGGAAGAAAGGTATCGACCTCCTGTATTGCTGTAATCTCACCTCTATTCTGATGCATGCTTTTACTTGTCAAGCCCATTTCCCCAGAAGTGTAGGCAATGCCCAAATATACACAGATGCTTAATGTATGTCATTTTGAGATTCTCTAAACTTCGAGGATCAGTTGCAGTTTTCAGGTAACATGAAAATCCCATCTACATCCAAAAGCAGCTTGGCATAAACCCTAACACCCCCCCTTTGTTACCAAGCCAGCACAATTTCTGCCCTGAAAGAATGTTTTAAATTATTGAGCTCAAGAGACTATAGTAATTCCTGCTGAAAGACACAGTTTTCACAAGAAACATGGAAGGAAATGGAGTCACTCTGAATGGAGGAAATGCATGAATTAAGAGCGGACTGGCTCAGTGGAAGAACAGGCCAGACTAAAACTACATTTTCATAAATGAATTCTGTACATATATATGAATGTTGTTAGTGAAGGACACACGTCACCGAATGATAAAGGTTAATTCACATCGGTTCAGTCTTCCAGTATTAAGAGATCAGTTTGAAATAATGGTGCATTCAGCCATCCTCCTAATCCACTGTGTCTGGAGCTTCACAGTCTGTGTTTGTGGGGCTTGAGCAGTGAAAATACATGCCTAAATAGAGTGCTTAATGTCCCTTGCAAGGCAAGGCAATCTAGGAAAGAGGCTGTAACAGCATGGGATAGAAGGGGAGTATCACAACCAGTTATGATGCAGAAAGCTTCTGAGGTGGTAGGTGGCCAGAAGAGGCCTGAAGGAGGCACCTTCTCAAAGGGAAACTGAGAGTCTAGAGATTACAGCTCCTGTTAAAGAGATGGAAAAGGATGTCTGCTATAGGAAGAACAGATGTGGAATGGGAAATACAGGGGGAAAGCCATTTTCTCTGAAGGACAACACATGCCACAAAATTAAGGAATGCAGAAGAAACTATAGAGAGAAAAAAATGGGAAAGAAATTCCTTTAAATGAGGGAAGTGCAATGAGTGGCTGAAAAAAGAAGAGGAAATACATTTAGAAAGGAGCCAGGTTACGGAGTCTCAGAACTAATCCATACATTATATAGCAAATACTTTTTTTCTTACCTTTGGTTAACTGCAATTTACCTAAAAGCCTTTACAAAATGCAAGTAACTCCTAACTCCTCTCTTGCATATTCCTGCTGTTCCCAATGCAATAAACAGATTACACATGGCCTTGATGGTCACCCTGTTTTTCCTCAGCGAGCCATGCATTTTGTGCTGTGCAGTATGTAAGCAAGTTACCTCCGAGCCTCTCTCTGCTCTTTAACCAGTTAAACATGCTCAGCTTTTCACTGACATTTCCTACTGAGTCACTCAAGTTCTTTACAACTTCAGTCAATGTAAAAATCTAAGAGTAAAATACTGGACACGTACTCTTTATATCCTGTAATTCAACAGAGAGGGGAAACCCAACAATCTATGCACCCTCAGGTAAGTGGTGAGGCTAGTGGGGGAAGCCAGCCTGTTGTAATACTGTTAGGCTTGGTTTTATTTATGCCCTTATAGTGTGGAGCTTCACATGGTTTCTACAGAGGCAGGAAAGATCCAGCTGAGAAAAGTAACACTCTCTGCAAAAGCATTTTGATGTAACTGACGGTTTTTGGTGGGTCTTTAATTTCCTGTATACTTTCCTCACCTCCTTAAGCAACCAGTGTTAGTACCCTTATATCCAACCTGAACTTCCCTTGTTTAAGTTTGAACCCATTACCCCTTGTCCTATTGCTTGTCCTGCAAGGATAGATTCACGAGCTTTGGTCCCACAGGGCAGATATTCCTATGTTAAAAATAAGCCAGATTACTGCTGTAGATTTGATTCTATTTCCCATGCTGAAAAATGCGGCTCTTTTCTTTATGACAAACTGTAGAAAAGAAATGATGAAAAATCCATCCTTTTCAAAGGGACACTCCAGTTTTTCCTTCCATTCTCCATTCCAGAATCAGCATTAATCTCTGCCTCTGAAGAGAATCTGATGGTTCCCCATGGGTTAATCCTTTCATCTGCTTCCTCCTCCTTTCTCAAGGGAAGTATTTTGAAACTTAGCAATAAAAGATGTGTGAAGCTTTAGCTCTGGCCAAGGGGACACTCAAAATGACACCACACCAGCAGGCTTCCATTGAACACGTCCTAAAAATGGCAGAAGTTTTTCCTTTGACGGAACATGCCCAGATACCACTGAGCAGACCTGGGCATTTCCTGGAGCAGCACCTCAGAAAACAAATACAAGAAAGGCTTATTAGGTCATTTTGTCTATCACTTGCCAACAAAGAGCTATTTTCCACCGTGTTTCATGATAATATTGGTCTTAAAAGAGAAGACACTTTTTAGGAGTAACTACTTCACATTAATGGGCCTCACAGATCAAACAGTCCCTCCCCTGTGTTCAAAAGATACTAACATTTTCTCAGCTGTCAGCCCACATTCAGAGATCCCCCTCCAGCAACACTCTGTTCATCCCTCCTCCCTTCCTGGCAAAAGCCTGCCCTAGGCATAGCACAAACCTGTATGGGCACAAACTGCTCTTCCAAAGCAAATCGATCATTTCCAACTCAATAGTCCCCACCTCCCACAAAGATTTCTTTGTCAATATTTGTTTCCTTTCAGTGTTTTCTCTTAACTCAGGTCTTTAAAACCTTTTTCTTCCACTCATATACCCTATAAATTAACCACAGTGACAACCCCCAGATCCTGTCATGTCCTCATCTGCTCTTGCCTTTTGTCATGTATACTGTCTTTCCTCTTACTTACATTGGCTTTGTTGCACTGGCTGGGTCCCTCCCATGTCTCCAGGGATGTCACTGTGTGAAAGACAAGCCCTTGCATTTGTAAACACTGCAACTGCATTAAACTGAAGCTCACTTCATGGTGCTGAGTGCAAGCAAAAGTGTGTGCACATAGATCCACACATTTTTAATTAGGAAAGCATTGTGTTACGATATTTTGCCTAATATCATATTCTTCCTCAGTTTTGTCTTGTCTACAGCTTGCTGAGCACCCTGAGAGATTTGTGGGTGGGAAATGGGCATGCCACTGGTTTCAAGTTAATTTTCTTCTCTTTCAGTTTGCAAGCTCATGGAAAGCCCGAGGGAATGACACTGCCAGGGATGCCAATGGTGCCCTCCCCAGCTCAGGTGCCATGTGTCAGCAGCTGCTGCTTACAGCATCCCTTTGGAGCTGGAACTAAGCTGTGCCCTGCTTGGTGGGCACACTTGCCTCAGGGTCTGGGTACCACACAGCTGGTTAGTGAGAACTTGAATACTGGCAAATAGGTCCAAATTTATCATTCTGAAACTCAAAGCATGATTTTGGTTGGGTTATCTGTGCTCACCAGTTGGGTGGACTCAGTGACTAAAGCAGATTTCTCCTGCTTGCAGGTACTGATAAATGATAACTTTCTTCTTGGTTTTTTGTTTGTTTTTTAGCTTCAGCATTTGTTGCAATGGTCCCTGGATCAATCCCTTCCGCACCAGACAGTTGCAGTGAGTTGTGTCTTAGGACCATAGAATTATAGAATGGTTTGGGTTGAAGGGACCTTAAAGCTCATCCAGCTCCAACCCTTGCTACGGGCAGGGACACCTTCCACTAGAGCAGCTTGCTCCAAGCCCCTGTGTCCAACCTGGCCTTGAGCACTGCCAGGGATGGGGCAGCCACAGCTTCTCTGGGCACCCTGTGCCAGCGCCTCAGCACCCTCACAGGGAAGAGCTTCTGCCTAAGAGCTCAGCTCAGTCTCCCCTCTGGCAGGTTCAAGCCATTCCCCTTGGCCTGTCCCTACAGGCCCTTGTCCCAAGCCCCTCTCCAGGTTTCCTGCAGCCCCTTTAGGCACTGGAGCTGCTCTAAGGTCTCCCCTTCAGGAGCCTTCTCTTCTCCAGGCTGAACAAGGACAGGTGTAAGATCATCTGCACTGTGTAGCTGGTGCAGAACATGCCTGTGTATTTGCTCAGCCGTTTTTCTTGCAATGCGTTTAAAACGGTAAGAATAGAAAGCAGCACTTTCTGATTTAGAATTTGTCTCTGGCCACAGGTTTATGGCTGTTTTAGTAGCAGGATATGAAGTGTGGGTCTGGGAGAAGCAGCTGTGTTAATCCTACTCCAAAATAGGTCCTGGTTGTAATAATGTCTTAATTTTGCATGTTTACTGGGGGCGGAACACCATCCCTATTCGCTTAGCCCATAGCATAGGCACATTTTATGTACCAGACAAAATAAATAGTGGCTTCACTTTGCAAACAAAAATACTGCTGACATACTTGCATGTACGTGCATATTTTATAGATCGTTGGTATTGAAAGATACTTTCATTTCTCTGCTGCTTGCTCAAGAGCAGAGAATGAATTTTCATTAGAG